ACTGGGGCCTGCTCAAGACAATCAACGAACAACAGGATGGTCGTGATCGTGATAGTGATCCTGGGTGTGGCCCCAAAACCAAAACCAAAACCAAAACCCAAAGCTCACAAGTTTTTCAGAGAAGAGGATAGATTTTGATGTTCTCCATGTAACTGATAATCAGATAATCAGATAAATAAAAAGAAAAGTCATAACAACTTTCAAGCTTTTATTTTCCAAAAATGAAAGAAAAAGGACTTGCTTTGAATATAAGGAAGCACGGTAGGTAGCACTGTCCTCCATTTGTTCATCCATTTGCTAGAGCAGGCACCAGTAACGTCTCCATTGTGAGACTTGTTACGTTTTTGGCATATCAAACACTCCACTGGGAGCTTGCCAAGCTCTGCCTTGCGGGAGGAATACTCTCGGTAGCTTGCAGGGCTCTCTGAGAGGGAAGGAGGAATCGAACCCGGGTCGGTCGTGTGCAAGGCAAATGTCCTACCCGCTGTGCTATCAATCTTCAGCTTCTTTCCAAGATAAAAATTTTTTTGTTTATTTTTGGTTGGGAACATTCCAGGGATGTACTCAGGGCTTATTTCAGGTTTTGTAATCAGGTATCACTCCTGGTGGAGCTCTTGGGATCATAGTGGGTACCTGGGATTGAAAAATGAGGCAGCTGCATGCAAGGCAAACACTCGCTCTATCCATTGTACTGTCTGTCTGGTCCTGAGCCTGAAGTATTTGGTGATACAATTTTCAATGGTCATTTTTTTCCCACTTATTTGCTGTACTTGCAACTCGACGGTCTGGTTTCCTGACCTTCCCTTCTACCGCTTGAGTAATCCAGTGCTGAAATCCTGGCAGGTTTGGCTGTAGTCTTGGAAATAAGTGGTGAGCAGAAATGAATTTTAGCAGAGCAGAAATGAATTTTGGCAGAGGAATTTTAGCTGTCCTTTGTCTAGGAGTTCTCCTGGACTGAAAAAAACTATAGACCAAATATGATTGCCACTCAATGCCTCTTTTGCAAACCACAACACCCAAAAGGAGAGAGAAAACAGAGGGGAATGCCCTGCCATAGAGGCAGGGTGGGATGAGGGGGAGATGTGGGGTGGGAGGGATGCTGGGATCCATGGTGGTGGGAAATGGGCACTGGTGGAGGAATGGGTATTTGATCATTGTATAATGGAAACCCAAGCACAAAATTTGTAAGTCTACAACTGTACCTCATGGTGTTTCACTAATAAAAATTTAAAAAAAACTGGATACACAGAGGCCAGGTTGTAGGATGAAAAGAGACTGGAGGTGAGGCCATTGCTAGAATTTCTGGGTAGTGTGGCCCCTGAGTTCACCCAGTTAATTTATTTTTTAAATAATTAGAAGACTTTCATTATCTAGATTCCTTATCAGCCATCATTACCTTCTTATCACCATGGTTACTGCTATCAGGAGCATCTTAAGCAGAGCAATAGATGCAGTTACAGTTTAAAATCTGAATCCCATTATAAAAAAAAGTCTGTGAATTAGGCAGTGATGGAAATGTCCCAAAGCATCTACAAAGGACACTGACTTAATGGCAGAGCATATTGTCTTAATTGCCATTTTTCTAATCCTTTGACTTTGTAGACCTAAGTTAATCCAACCAACTTCATAAACCTTGTCAGCCCCAACACATTTATAAACGTTGAGAAAGTGATTAAACTAGAGCCAAAGTTTTGATTATCATAAATCCCACATTAACTGAAACCACACTTGGAAAATAAAAGCTTGAAAGCTGTAACAAGATAGAAACATGAATGCTATGACTTTTATTTTAATTTTTGGGCCATACTTGGTAATGCTCAGGGCTGATTCCCTGAGCTGTGCTCAGGGATCACTCCTGATGAAACTAGGGAGACCAGCTGGGGTGACAGGGATCAAACCTGGGTCTGGTGTCAACCAGGCAAGCACCCTACCTGCCCTACCTGCTGGACTGTTGCTCTGGCCCCACATTGTGATTTCTATGGAAACTTAATTAGCGGAGCTAATTATTTGCTCCTTTTAATTCCACAAATGTGTCATATTTGTGTTTATTAATTCCTTATCTGTATAATATTAAACTACATTAACATAATTCTTACTTGTGTGCTGCTCCTCCTAATATCTTGTATTTGCCAAAAGCCCATGTGAAGCAAAGGACAAAATACAACCTGGATTCAAATCCTGAGTTGACCAATGGTTAGTAGTTGGATCTTTCATGTTATTTAAAATCCCTGAGCTTCCTGGGGCTGGAGTGATAGTAAAGTGGATAGGGCATTTGCCTTGCGTGCAGCTGACCTGGGTTCGATCCCCAGCATCCCATAGGGTACCCTGAGCACCGCCACAAGTAATTCCTGAATGCAAAGCCAGGAGTAATCCCTGTGCATCGCCGGGTGTGAACCCAAAAAGCCAAAAAATAATAATAAATAAAAAATAAAATGAAATCCCTGAGCTTCCCTTTCTGTTCAGAGGACACAACAATCTTGATTTTACAAATGTAAAGTGAAAAGTGTATGCAAAGCATGTAGAGTATACCATAATTGTTTATTTTTTATATATTAAAATATCATGATTAACAATATTAATAGTAATTATATTGAGGCATACACCTACCTACAAAATGCCCATATTCCACCCCAACAGCCCCAAGAGATGCCTCCCCACTGCATAGATGCCTCATTCTGTTGGCACCTTCTCAGAGTTGGTTTCTATTGGCTGTCATCTTTTCTCTTGCTGTTTCTTTGTACCCCACATGTGAGTGAGTTGAGGTAACTGTTTTTTTTTCTTTTTGGGTCATACCCAGCAATGCTCAGGGGCCATGCCTGCCTCTGCACTCAGGAATTACTCCTGGCAGTACTCGGGGGACCATATGAGATGCTGGAAATTGAATCCAGGTTGGCCGCATGCAAGGCAAACACCCTACCCGCTGCTATCACTCCAGCCCTGAGGTAACTGTTTCTTAAATGTTAATCCCTGTTTCTTAAATGTAAATCCCCATCACATTTTTTGAAAGAAGAAAAAACAAAAATTTTATATACAATTTCAAAATGACATGACAGTCTAATCTAGAAGATAGATCTGGCTGAAAGACGTTTCTATCTAGTTGATGAAAATAAATGAAAACAACTTGGTTAAACATTGAGAAAAAGCTTGTGAAAATCTAGCAATGAACAAGAAATTTTCAGTCAATTTGCTTGTATCACGATAAACACCAGGAACTTTGTTCAAACACTAGCCACTTTCTGGACTATAATTTTACTTAAGCATCACACAGTTTTGTTTTGTTTAATAATGAAGATAATATATTACAAAGCATTTGGGAAATGGAGTAGTGAAAAATTACTTTTCTTTGTTTTGTGGCTGCAATGATACTTCAGATACAATTTTCAACTTGATTTTGTTGGTTAAGATCGTGTCAAGGCGCTACTAATGCTAAGTGATATTTTACAATCTATGATTTATTGAACAGATTCATACTGTGAATATTAAAGTTGCTGCCGAATTTTAATGCATGATCAAGAAGAAAATTTTGTTTTCAAATTTTTCCAAAAAATTTTATTTGTATGCAAATACATATTTTGAAGCAGAAAATGAAAGTGCTAGCTCCCAAAACTATATTCAAGTCTACTTCCCTTAGATACTTCTTGTTGTGCTCAGAATCATTTATCAATCCTAATTTCATCTATATTTTGCAGCCAGGTTTACTTAAGTTGCAATATGCTGATACAGACATTTGTGTTTGAAATTTAACTTCTCCAAATCCAACCATCAGTACAAAGTCAATGAAAAAGGGAGAAGAGGAAAAAAATCAAATGGAGACACTGAAATACTTTTTAAATGACCAGGGAGTTTTATGAATGCACTTACTCCCTTAGCCCAAGTGGGAGAACTGGATTGAGGTGTATAATTGTAATTTGGTCTTTCATTAATACTGTCATTGTCCTTTACTCTTTCTTCTTTAGTTTTATATTTCTCCGTACCACCAGGCTATTCTTCTAAGGATTTTGAGGGGGAGCTACGTACTTATCTATATTCTTTTCAAGTTCTCATAGCTTTTCTGTCCTTTCCCACCATTACGTTCCGTGCCTTGATATTTTACTTTCATCATTTCTCATACTTCACAGGAGAAACAGTGCATGTGTTAGAAATTTAATACAGAGTTGAACAGTCGTTGCAGTAAGAGGTAAGAGGTTGGGTTAGGTTCATTCAGTGGATATCTAAAGGTACAAATGGAGTTAACTGATGTGGAAAATCATCCCCTCCCCCAACAAAAGAAGAAAAAAACCTAGGTTAAGATATTCCCCTTCGGCAAATAGTTTCAGTCTTAGAGTACAAAGGATTTGCAAACATGCATTCAGGAAAGAATAGAATGGGTAACACAGCAAACAAGAATACATCCAAGAAAAAACAGGATGAACAGTTTTGGGTCTTTTAGATGTCTGCTGATTGGCTAGATGAAATAAACCAGCCTCTGCTCTCCATATATCTACCGAATATTGATATGCTTACCCCCTGCCTTAATGTTATCTGTCAGTAGAAACAATGGCTCATGTGCTGGGAACCTGGTAGAGAAGTGATATTGTACTGAATATCTGTTTGACCACTGACAGCTGCCCGGGGGACTCTAAAGCTTGGGCACTCATGTGTGTTTGATTGTGTCCTTATGTATTTGTCTCGTTTTCTGCAGCTGACCTTTGGCTGAATGGAGGAAGTCAAAGGTGCCAGTCTGATTGGCACTAGACAAATTAACGTGTGTGTGTGTGTGTGTGTGTGTGTGTGTGTGTGTGTGTGTGTGTGTGATTTGTGACAGGGAATAGCTTTTACAAAGCAGTGTGGTGGGAGTGACATAGAGCCTACAAGGAAGAAGATTAAAGCGTCCAAACCCTACATTTTCCATCCCACATTAATACTTGCAAACTATAAAGCTTTGTTGCTTTCCCCTGGGAATTCTGTCTTGGTAATCAGGTTAAGTGGTTTTGAAAGCTCCCAGGGTCCCAGGTATTTACCTTTTCTCATCATGTCTGTAAGATGAAGAGCCCCGGCCACTGGTCCATATAAACATCTTAGAGGATGTTGGTCCAGGGGCTTCCTTCCTCTTGGTGGAAGTCCTGGAGCAATGGCAAAAAGACCTGAAAGAGGTACACACTGAAGTTAAATCCACTGTGCTAGGGATTAAATCCAAATTTCATGCATGAAGAGCCTCTGACTTGCATCCCTGGTCCTGACTTCCATCCCTACCATTGACTTGCATCCCTGGTCCTGAACTGAATCTCTTAAATAAGGTCACGTTGCTGTGGTTGTAGGAGACTTGCTCTCAACCCTTGCTGCATGTTTAGATGAAGTGGAAATATTCTAAAACAAAACAAAACAACACAAAAAACGAACACTGAAGGGCTACAGAGATAGTACAGAGGGTAAAGTGTTAGTCTTGCACAAAGCTGTCCCAAGTTCAATTTCTGGCACCATGGATAGTTCTCCAAGCACCACCAAGTGTGATCTCTAAGCAGAGTCAGGAGGAATCTCCAAGCACAGCTAGGTGTGGCTCCTTCAAACAAACTAATAAAAATTAAAGCCCTCCATTCTTTTCAGAAATGTGCATCTATAGTTTTTAAACTTCCTAGTTGTTTCCAAGCCTCTTCTTGGATCTAGATCCACGGTTTTAGATTTTCTAGTTTCTTATTATAGTCAATCCAAGTTGTCTCCTCCCCCAAACCCCAGTATTTGTATAACTTGACAGTTTTTGGTTCAGATTTGATATTAAAATTTGATTTTTCTATTTTCTTAAAACTACTTTCACATGTTGGTGATGAAATATCCCTTTAAGGATTCTCTACTCTGGCCAAAGAAGTTGTGGGTTTCTCCTATGGTTGATAACTCTTTTTTCTAAGAAAATCACTGGCTTAAAACCTCTGGCTGTTAGATGCCAGGTTTATAGGAGTCATTGTTACTTATTATGCAATAAATAATGAGAGGTATGAATTGAATATCAAAGAAAATTACGTTTAGCAAAAGGAACAGAAAAATGATCCTTGCATGGATGTACAGTCATGTATGACTTTCCTTTTGAGCACAATATTAATGGTAAGCATGTGAATGGAAATAGTGACTATATACTGTCTTAGCTATTTCATGTCAGATACTCTGCATATATTAGCTATGCATAAGTCATGAAATTTATATGCATGTATCTATGCTATACTATGTCATGAAAATTTTGCAAGACATAGTACAGCGGTAGGGCGATTGCCTTGCACGCAGTCAACATGGCCGACCCGAGTTCGATTCCTCCGCCCCTCTCGGAGAGCCCGGCAAGCTACCGAGAGTATCTCACCCTCACGGCAGAGCCTGGCAAGCTACCCGGGACGTATTCGATATGCCAGACACAGTAACAACAAAGTCTCCAATGGAGACGTTACTGGGCCCACTCGAGCAAATCGATGAACAATGGGAGGACCGTGACTGTGACCATATAATGCTGTTCTGAATTTTCTGGATTAAAGTGATACATCCAGGAGACAGAGGTGTTTTCTCACATTTAGAAAGGTATGTCCATACTTCAGACCACTGTCTGTTTCTCTACAATTCTCACTTTCTCTGCAGTAAGATGCATTATGATCTGACCCATGAATCCTCAAACTGTAATGTGAGAATCAGGGATCCCGTAATAATACAGATTCTGATTCAAGGCGTCTCTGATGGAGTTGAGGTTCTATATTCCTAACAAGTTCTCTGGTGATGCAGATTATCTCCATTTTGCAGATAACATTGCCAGCCAGAGCTTGGCACAAGTACTCAAGTGCTTGATTGTAGGCCCAATGTTGTCACTAACTTTTGTCAACGGCAATTCTCAGATCTTGAGCAGTTAACTTTTCTAGGGCAGAGCTGAATGTTTTTAAATATGTATGATTGAGAGCTTGAACATAACCCCTAAGATTTCTTATTTCCAAAATTTTGTGATTCATCTTATTTTGGGTAATATTTTGGGAGTGGGGGTTACTCTTGGCTCAGTGCTAGGGTACTGCTCTCCTCACTGGTGGTCACGGGTGCCAGGTGCTGCCAGGGATTCCCACATGCCCTAGGCTTTTCTGGGGTTCCCAGAAAAGCACAATCTTAGGATTGTTTTTTTCTTTTTGGGTAACATCTGGCAATGCACAGGGGTTACTCCTGGCTCATGCCCTCAGGAATTACTCCTGGCAGTGCTCGGGGGACTATATGGGATACTGGGAATCAAACCCGGGTGGGTTGCATGCAAGGCAAATGCCCTACCCACTGTGTTATTGTTCCAGCCCCTGGCCCTAGGCTTTTGAGCTCTCTTTCTCTACATTGAAGAATAAGTAAGTAAGTAAAGGCCCTCCCGTTGATCATCAATTTGCTCGAGCGGGCCCAGTAACGTCTCCATTGGAGACTTTGTTGTTACTGTGTTTGGCATATCGAATACGTCATGGGGAGCTTGCCAGGCTCTGCCGTGTGGGCAAGATACTCTCGGTAGCTTGCCGGGCTTGTAGGCATATTCTAAATCATTATGCCTATGTCCTAACTTTCTGGGAATAGGTATTCTTTTACAATCCTGAGATCTGTATCAGGAACAGAAGCCTTGGGAAATGGTTTATTAACTACCATAGAGCAGAAAGTCCTACTTCTGTACTGAATCTCCTTGGATGAATGGCAGAAATAAAATGATTACCCAAATGGAAGCCCTAGACTATTTTAGGGAGATCTAGAAGTATGTTTTGATTTGGGATATGTAAAGTTGTGAGTTTTTAAAAAAAAACTTAAAAACATCACAGAATATATCAATTAATTTATGCATTAGATTCAATCTGCAGAAAATAAAAATGCTTTTAATGTAAGTTGAATGAATTCCTTCATGAGAATAAAAATCAGCCTGAACTTTTAGGAATTTATTTTAACATTGGTGTGGTTGGAGAATTCTATTCATTTTAGTTGATTCTCAAAAATTTGGGGGAGAGGTTATAGATGAGTTTGAGTTTAAGTAAATGAGATGAGTTTGAATCACAGTTTGAATCTAAGTAGATCACAGTTTGAGTCTAAGTAGATCACAGTTTGAGTCTAAGTAGCACTGTCCTGCAGCACTGTCCTCTCGTTGTTCATCAATTTGCTCGAGCGGGCCCAGTAATGTCTCCATCATGAGACTTGTTGTTACTGTTTTTGGCATATCGAATACGCCACGGGTAGCTTGCCAGGCTTTGCTGTATGGGCAAAATACTCTCGGTAGCTTGCTGGGCTTTCAGAGAGGGGTGGAGGAATTGTACCCATGTCACCCGGGTCAGCTGTGTAGGCCACATGCAAGGCAAATGCCCTACTTGATGTGCTATCACTCTATCCTTTGAGTCTAAGAAAAGCAGTTAATTGTGGAGTTTGTGCCCTATTAGTTTTTATAAGACAGCTTTTAATAGACTTACCATATATACTACAAATGCTTTAAAATCATTCCAAGTGAAAGGAGCTACAGTGCTCTTCGTACTATATACTATATAATATACAGTATAGTATACTATATTTTAGTACTGAATAGTATATAATGAAAGCATTGTTTAGGCTAGTATAGGATATAGGATAGGATATATAGAATATAAGTATAGGATACTCTCAGACTGTATCATTATTATTCTAGTGCCCTTTCTCTGTTGTTTGAAGAAGATTCAGAAAGGGGGAGATAAAGGTTATATTTATTTTAATTAACTGTCTAAAGCTTATTAAAATGAACTTAATGGCTCCTTAGTTTATTGCAGTAAGTGACTTTGGAGTTTCTCTACCTTAGTTTTTTTTCATAAAGACTAATTGTTCTTTAAAATCCGTTAAGTTGGCTATTAATTAAAAAAGAAAGGGAGTAAGTAGTTGCTTTAAAGATGACAGTATAAAGGTTCACTAGAGATTGAAAAAAAATTCCAGGCTTCAAAGAAATGCCCAGAATATGTTAATGAATACTGGTTTAGAGACTCTATCTTAGTCTAAAGTGAGCCCTCCTGAACTCCTTAAGTAATTATCTTAACACTACTCACTTTATAAAAAAAGAAACGTTTCATTTGATGGTGATAAGGAAAGCGATGAAAAGTCCCTCATCCCCTAGCAACACTCTGAAAAAAAAATGGTTGTAATCCATAGCACAGCGGTAGGGCGTTTGCCTTGTGCACAGCCAGCCTGGCCAAGCCGCGTTCGATTCCTCCACCCCTCTAGGAGAGCCCGGCAAGCTACTGAGAGTATCTTGCCTGCACGGCAAATCCTGGCAAGATACCTGTGAGGTATTCAATATGCCAAACACAGTAACAAGTCTCAAAATGGAGACGTTACTGGGCCCGCTCGAGCAAATCGATGAACAACGGGAGGACAGTGTTTGTTTGTTTGTTTTGGTTGTAATCTAGAATGAAACAAAGTTAGTGTTGGTGGCATCACAGGAATTAGGGGAGGAAATCTGAATTAAATTTCATCAGTAAATTACCTACGACCAGAGTGAACCTGGCACTACACAACTCTGGCATAATATGAGCATGCTCTCAACTTAGGATGGAAATACTGTGGCAGTGAGGTCACAGCAATTTCTTTGCCCCAAATTTGTAAAGGGCCCTTTACCATTTCCTTTAGTACCTCCGTTGCTGGTTTCTGTCTCCAATGCTTGTCCCTCTCTCCACCTGCACCATTTCTGTGAAACCTTCGCTGTTTGACTCAACAACTTCCTCTACATCACATCCCAATTCTTGGTACCCACTTTGGTTAAAGCAACAGACAATTTATCCTATTGCGTGCAAATCTGCCTCTCCCGCTGGCCTTGGAAATTTCCAGGGTGGCTGTGTCTTAGACATGTGAAGGCACAATACAGGGCACATGGATACCCCTGATCACCAAAGTACTGGCTAGAAAACGCAACCATAGTTGTCTCCTGCAATGAGGCTCATAGCTCCTTGGTGCAACTAAAATCTTCTCAGCTCAGGATATTTTTCTTTTTTCTTTCTTTTTTATTATTAATACTTTATTATTTTACCTATCTTCTTTATGTTTTATTATATTTCATACCTATAAAATACCCCAGACATCCAAAAATCATTGGAAACTTCTTCAATACTTCTGGTAATTTTATAAAGGTGGAAAACAGTCAATCTGCTAGCTGAAG